CCAAGTAAAGAACTGTTACAAATAATGAAGAAACTAATAGATTTAGATAGAAAGCAACATAAAATAAACCAAATTTGATACCCGAATACTCGGTTTGGAACTTTTTGAAATAAATAAAGGAGTGATTGGTTTCCATTATCTTGTCATAAATTTTTGTTACAACTATTTTACATCGATCTCAATAGTCAATAGTCTTTGTCTTGTAGTCCAACAATACATTGGTGGAACTTCAATCTTTCAAAGAATTCGAACCGTTGAAATTTTGGTCGATGGTATATAATTTAACCACTAGTCTGCAAATTCGAGCACAACTCACACCATCCCAATTGTTCTTTTAACTACATATCAATGTGCATCAAACAAAATTGACACAGGCATCAAAGTATAACCAACTTGCATAATTCTGTTCTTAGACTATATCCAAAACTTCTCCATATCTTTACTTAAATGCTCAAGATTCTTCTGAGAAGAATATCTTTCAAATCAATACCTCAATCATATAATTTAAGTGATGAATCATATAAATGGTTATAAGGAGTAACAGCAGCAGCAGATTGTGTAATCTCAAAAATGAGATGTGAATAGGGTTTCGATACCTGCAATGTTTCCAAGGATATGGAATTTTAGTGACATTGGCGTGCAAAGCCTTCTGAACATCCGGTCTATTAAGATACTCCTCGGTATAATCCGATGAACAAGGATCGTATCCGAGCGGCCTCTTGTGCCATCCTTCCTGCACAAACTCATCTCCGATCGGCAATCGCCTTCCAGTTTCCAAAGATTCAAATCACAAAAATGTGTTAAATCAGAAACACTCACATATTTGGCCAACGCCTGAGGCTCGACGCCTTCGACTGCGAACCGCCGCTGCCTCCTTCTGCCGCCGCCTCCGCTGCTAGAATTCGTCACAACGCACATCGGAGAGTACAGACTGTACATGTCGATTAGATCGTACACCGCGTAATACTTGCCAAGAGAATCGTCGCAGGCGTTGGACGGAATCGGATTGCTGAAATTGCAATCTCTCAGTATGTCTCCGTACACCTTATCGGATATTACGGCGTGATCCCAGGCGTACTCGATCATCCCGCGCTGGTCAGTTTCGTCGTCGAGCAAGGCGTTGCCGATCTGCGAAACGCCGAATCGTCAGAAGATGAACATAGAGAGAATTTCGAGTAATTGCTACAGAGGACGGGATTAATTACCATGAAGCCTTTGAAATTTATGCGGTGTTTCTTCGCGATTTTCTTGTTCTTATCGAAAATGACCTCTGAAAGTTGCGGGACGTAGTGGCCTGAAGAGGAGGAGGAAGAAGACGAAGATTAACAGTTAATTACAGAGAGAAACTCGAATTTAGGATCAATTTGAAGAAATAGAGAGATTCCGGTACCTGCATAGCTCTCGCCGGCGATGTAAAAATCATGGGATTTGAATTGGGGAAATCGCCGGAACCAGTTGACTAGAAAGATGTACGAATCCTTGGCTAACGACACATTTTTATGATTAGTTCTACTAGATGAAAATGAAAAAAGAAAAACAAATTAAGGATTCAAAAGTTAAAAGAAGAAAATAGAAAAATTAATAATTCAACCATAAATAAATATTCATAAACTACAATTATATTTTAATCAACTTAAATAAAATAATTGTACCTGTGATTGTATCGCCGAGTCTTTCGATATCTTTACTAGTGTTGGAGTAGGAGAATCCAACTCCAACCGGTGATTCCAAGAACAGTAGGTTCGCCGCTGAATCAACCAAAATTTATTATTATTGTCATTATTTTCACTGGTACGCCTCCCTTAAAAATTGTTATAATAGAAACTTTTTAATGGTAAAATTAAAATTAAGTATTTTTAATACAATAGATATGGAATGAGAGTTTGAATTTGCCGTTTTCACAGTTGAGCTGAAATTGAAATAAATAGAGTAATACAAATATATCCCAATCTTATGGGTTGTTTTAACATTTGAGATTTTTCAATTTTACTAAATATTTTAATTTTCAAATGGTTTTTTTAAAATAAGTTGCTAGCATAAATTTTCAAAAATAATAAAAAATAAATGACAGGAGGTTAATTGAAAATTTTTAAATGCTGTGGTAAAATTGAAACCAACTACGTACCAGAATAATACTTTCCATAATTTGGCCAATTATTATTATTATAAAAAAAAAAACTAAAACAAAATAAAAGCTTTTTTTTTTCTTTTAAATGATGAAATTACCTCTGTTCCAAGTGTATGGGTTGAACTTGAGTTTTGGTTGGTCTCCTTTCTGGGGGTAGAATGGTCCCAATTCCTCGGCTGCCCCGTACCCGACTGATGAGCATCCGGGTCCTGATTATTATTTTAAATATCCATTACTCACTACACCATTTATATCTAATATAATCACAAATAAATTATGCAATTTTTAATTAATACTTTATTTTTATATATTCATGGATTTACTTAAGACCTTGCTTCAGATAAAAATAAAGAGCATCAGAAAGTAGATAAAAGTTTTTAAATATTTCTTACCAACTTTGGTTTAATTGAGTTTCCAATTTATTTAATTGTCATGAAATCCATCGAAATGAAAATTAAATGGTATTAGCTCATCTGTCAATTTTACAAAATCAAAAGCCTTTCTGTTTAAATATGGTTTTCAAATCAAAACTTTTATTCTCATTTTATTTGTTTTTTTATAGTTTAAATATTTTATTTCAATTATTTGAATAAAAATATATTTTGTTGTTTCAAAAGAAAAAACTAAATAAATATTATATTTTGACATATATATATATATATATATATATTTTAATGTTTAGCAAATTTAAGAATATGAACTAAAAAATTCAAATTTAAGAACAGGGATCGAAAGTACGATAAATGATAATTTTACAACGAAATATTTATAAAAGTTTGTAAATCAAAACCAAGCATCAAAATTGTGGAGACTGAATTGAAAATAAAAGACTAAGTTAAAGAACCAAAATAAAATTGAAATTGAAATATAAGATAAAAGTGATTATTCTTCATTTTTAATTTTATCCTCTATACAATACAATATAATATAAAGAAAAATCAAAATACAATGTACGTGAGAATAGTCATTAGAAAATGTTTGGTTCGTAGATATACAATATAATAAATTGAGTTCATGAAATTTAAATATAAAAATTGCATTCCAAGAGATATCTTGTTCTCAAGGTCAAGTGTTCCCATTTTAGTGTTAGTTTTCAAAATTTTCAAATTCTCCTTATTCATTTTCTAAATATTTGAAACTCAATTTTTATTTTACAACAACATGTAATGTAAAGTAGAGATTTGAAGAATATTACTATTTAACCAATTGACCATCCAACATTGTTGCTATTGTATAAAACTTTGTCATGAATACCAAAAAAAAAAAATTAAATAAATAAATAAGAGTAAAATGATGGTGACACATTTATCCATTTTTCGAGGAAAAAAATTCAACTATTAATTTTTTTAGTATGATAGTAGTAGAGGTATTCGAACTTGTGACATTTTGGCACATAATTCAAGATGTCAATTATTGCTGAACTAAGGTTGGCACCTCATGTAATCTCTTATCTAAAAAGGAATATGATATAATAGTAAACATCAATGCGTGAAAAAATTCCAAACTTTTAAGAAATTTAGTAATGTTTTCCCTCGTTGTAAATTGTTACACTATAATCTCTCACATGATTATGTGTTTCGAAAGATGTATTCAACTATCATAGATAATTATGGGACGAATAACAAGATAATAAAATAGGAATTAAAAAAAATTACATATATATATATGAACAATTAGAGTTGCATTAAAATGTGAGTTGAGTTTTGTACCTCCGTTGAGCCAAAGAAGGAGAGGCTTTTGTTGGGGATCGCCAATGGCCTCAAAGAACCAATAAAACAGTGCTCTTCCATGACTCTCATTCACCGTAACATACCCTGCATATTGCTTGAATTTCACCGCCGGCTGGCCCGGCAGCCCGACCACCCGATCCGCTTCTTGCCGGGCCACTTCGTCGTGACCGAGAGCGAGAGCGTCGAGAAAAAAGAGGAGGAGGAGAAGAAAATAAAAGGAATTAATGGTAGACGCCATTTTGAAAATCTCTGATTCTGTTTCTCTGAGGACTGTGGGTTTAAATAGGGAGGGAGAGAAGAGAAATTTTCTTTTTTCTTTTTCTTTTTATTTTTGGTGTTAATGGCGACGTTATGTTTATGCGTTGAAGGAGAAAAGGGAGGAGGAGGAGGATTCGCTTTTTGGAATCATGCGTGAGACTGCAGATACTGCTGCTTTCTTTCTCTTTTTTCTTCCTTATAAATTAGCCATTAGGGGTATTTTCGTTATTTTGGTTTGAATGTTGAAATTTATTTTCCTCCAAACCATCCACTCAAGCTACTTAAGCTATGTTCGGATACTTTTATGGTTGGGATTTAATCCTTATAATGTATTAGGGGTATTTTGGTCATTTTTTTACTTGAAGTATGAAGTTATTTTTTTTAGTTTGACAATTGCATCATCAAACCGTCAACTTGAACTATGCTCAGATCGACAATTGCAAATTATATTTTGGTCATTTTTAGTTCGTGGTTGAAATTTAGTTTTTTTTCTCAACAATTACAAGATGAGAATTAAATCAACTCTAACCATGCCCAGATTGATTTGATTGTTGAGATTTAGTCACTGTAATATAGATAAGTTGTTTCTTCGACACAAGATAACATAAAATGAAACGATTTGAAAAGATTAAATAATATTTTAAAAAATATAGTCAAATAGAACTAAGTTAGTCCAAGTAAACTTTTCGCCTTTTCATATATGAAAGTAATTTTACCCATAAAATTGAGTCGAGTAAATAAAGAATCTAAACATTTTGAGAGACAAAAATAATTTTTTAAATTAATTATCCGTCTTCAATTTCTTCTCGTCTTTTTCTTTCTTATTTAATGTTGAATATTTTTTAGTACAAGACTAGAGCGTTAATCTACCCTCTTTTGTAAAAAAAGCATAGGACAGGATTTGAAATCATATTTAGGAGACTCTTTAATTAAATAATAAAACTTAAGAAATTTGTAACCATATTTGACTTGATTTTCTTTGGTACAGGTTTTAATTAGATTGTAGCTTACCATAATCAGATACCAATTTCAATTTTTTTTAAAATTAATCTATAAATAGTAAAACAGTTATTATAAAAAAAGATGTATCTGTAGGTAAAAAGAATCTCTTTATTTAGCAAAATGCTTTCTAAAAACGTCAGAAAAGTCATTGTCATGGCAGAAAAAAAAAATGGAAATTTCCAAATATAATATGCCACGTCATGCTCTCTTCACTTCGTCATAATCGAGATTTATTCTTTTAATTCTTACAGGGGAAAATAATAATAATTTGAACTTTGAATCCGATTTGTTTAATTATTATTATTTTTTTTTAAAAATCGATTTGTATTTGTTTGCTTCGAAATGAAACCTTTGAAAATCTATAAAGACCATAAATTAATTATGTATATATTGCGATAATAATATTGCACACGTGCTCTCTGCTGGCTCTTAATTACTTTTGTAATGCATTTTTTATTTTAATTTGAAATAAAATTGTTATCCCTAAAGTTTCCCATTATTTTATTTATTTTGTTTCTAATGTTCAAAGGTATATTAAATGCCTTAAAAAGAAGGTATACTGAAGCATAGCTCAAAATATATCTTCAATTAAAAGATTTGCAATTTTATTTTATTGTATTAATAAATATATATATATATATATATATAATTCCATGAATAAAAGATAATTTCCTTGTTATATGATATCTACCCTATAAATTGATGAAAATTTTAGTAAAGTTTACCTTAATTTTTTAAGGATAAATATCGAAATATTTGTTTAAAAAATACTCTTAAGTATTAATTAAAAAAATTTAGTAAATTTTATTATTAAAGCTGCATTTTAACATTTATTTTTTTACTTAAAAAAAACTTAGTACATTATAATTTTTTTTTTAGTACAAGAGTTTGAATTTTAGAGTTTACGTTGGGTCAAACTATAATTTGTTATAAAATAAATGTAAATATATTGTCCAATTTGGGTAAAATCGTGATTATCGTATTAATTCATGACTTAATTTGCGATTAGAGTAAAAATTCAATGTTGAATCTCCGTCACTAGAAAAAGGCATTAAAAAGGGTAATTGGACCGAATCTCAAGGTGAAGGCTTTCACCGGGATAACTTGGACTTTTTCCACAAAAAGAAAAAAGGGGAAAAAAGCAAATAAATATTAGAAAATTTTCATTTTTCTTATGTGTGTAATTTTGTATTTTATTTTGGGAGGGGATTGGGTTTTTTTTATTTATTTATTTAGGGAATTACAAAAGTAGTAAAAAAGAAATATGTGTTTATATGTATATAGTATTAAGTGTAAAATTTGACAAAAATGATATAAATTGTAAACTTGTACTGAAACCAGCAAAAAATTACTTTGGTTAAAAATTAATGCAAAACATGTGCTAGCTTCTTTGTTAGTATTATCAGATTTTAGGAGTTTGTGCAAATGTCATGGTTGATAGCTACAGTAGTGGATGAGTGGATGTGTTAGTTGGAAAGTTTGTAGGTTAGTGGCTTCTTAAAGTCCGTGGTGTTGGTTTAGAGAGAATTTGAAAGCTAGTGGCCTGAACAGTAGGTCAAATTGAATGAATAGAAGTTCTTCTATTTGTACATTATCTCTTGCTAATTCTACTATGTTATTTCTAATGCTCGGTGAAGATGAATGGTGGAAGTAATGTTTGTGTAGACAAGCTTAATTATAGTTATTAGAGGCTATTTAGGGAAGCTTTTTTTAAAGGACAAGATTTGTGGAATCTTATATCTAGACGATACTCTATAAGATGATGAGGTACGCAGTAAGTGAAAGATCAAATGTGGCAAAGCTTTATTTGGTTTATTTGCTAGACAATATCAAGCATGTTCGTGAGGTAGATTCTACAAAGCACTTGAAATGTTGTTTACTAAGAAGAACACAACAAGGTTGGTGTATTTGGAGAATGAACATGCTAGAAAAATTCAAGGTAACTTATCGGTTTTAGAATATTTTCTGTCAGTTAAAACTTTAGTGGAATGTAGTCGATGTGGGAAACCAGACCATATTAAACAAAATTGTAAAGTGAAACTTAAAGAAGCACGAGTCTAAATTAAACAACTCAATTGGAAACATTGATTATTTTATTTTTAGTACAACGTAAGGGAGTGGAGGATTGAACTCATAACCTTTTGATTGGAGATATATGTCAAATCATCGCTGAACTATGCTCGCTTTGGCGAGAACATTGTTTATTAATTGATGCTATTGTTCAACTCATTAATTGTTTTGTTAATACTTCTTTTTATAACGGTAAGTATTGGTTTGATAATTCTAGTTTGTTCTCATCATACTACTATTGGATACGTTTTTCCTATGTACTCATCAAGAACTTTAATAACATAGATTTTTTTAAATACATTATGTGAGGAGAAGATTCGAACTCACGACTTTTTATCAGATATAAGTGGCTTAATTAATTGAGCTATGTTCAGATTGACTTTAACATCGGAGTATAATGCAAATGAAATAAAATTTCTTGGGATGCAACATTTTTGTTTCCCAAAATGCCCTTTTGTTTTAATAAATTACCATTTTTTCTCTTAGTTAACATTTATATTTAAATATGAGTGAGGCTTGCTCAGATTAGCATTTTCCCAAAGATCAATAAAATAAAATATTTTATATTTTGATTATTAATTTCAAAAGAGGGTCAAATGAATTTTTTTGACCAAAGGAATTAAATGATTATTCATTATTCAAGATTGCCTTTTTTTTTTCTCCTTTTATACTTAAGATTGCTTTAGATGTGCTTTTTTATCCGTTGAATCTTCCACAAAAAGGGATATACTTTTTTGAAATTCTAAATAGTGACAGGTGGCAGCTTCTTTTTGGCCACAAAGGTACAGAGAATATTGAAGATAAAATTTTGGACCAATAAGAGAATGAAGTAGGAATTTTCATCCTTAAAAAAAAAAGGTTTAAACTAATTTTGGGCACCAATGTTGAAATTGACAAATATATTCTCAAATAGTTAAAAAAAAGGGCAATTTCATTGTATCCTCCTAAATTGCATCCACTTATCTTAAAGATTTTAATTTCATTATGAATATTCGAAAATAAATAGATTCGTTTTGTTGCAAATTTCTTACCAGATCAATTTAGATAGACAGGAGTGATCTCGTAGTTCTATAAAGTGGAGACAATAGAGTCAATTCCAAACCTCTGCAATTTCATAATTTCCTTGTCAAATGGCCTACGGTCCAAACTCCTATGAGAGGCAATAAGGAGAAATTTTCCGTAATGGACGAAAGCTTAAGAAAAATGTATAGAACCTTTTAACAAGATGTATAAAAAAAGCACTATCTCGTTGTGGCATTTGAGATAGTGCATTTGAGCCCATTGTTAAATGTCATTTAAATTTCATCTAGAACGAGATGTAACCTTTTAGATTAGACATCATAATAATGTAAAGTCTAACAACATTGAAAATATATATAATTAAGTAATGAAAATGACAATATTTTAACCTTATCTATCACACAATTAATTTGGTAAAATTTTGGACTTTTAGAAAACCATCCAAATGGTAGTTAATAATTACATAAAATTGAGTTCGTTTGTTTCTAATTAAATTGATGCGTCCAATGACAATTTTGACCTTCTAAAGCTAACTTTGCTTCTTAGAACAGAAATAGTAATGACTTATTTTGTTAAAGGAAAAACAATAAGTTTGGATTTCATTAAGATTTAAATCCATTCCTTAAAACTTTTATAATATTTTAGATTAAATTATAAATCTCGTGACTTACATTTAATCTCTTAATTTAAATTTTGTATCTAATAAATTATTGACATTAAATTTATTAGTTTAATATCCACCATGAGGTGAATTGGGTGGTTGATTTTCTTCTTAAATAGTATCTTCTAAATCGTACTTCCATTATTTGGTCTTTGAACTTTTCCTTAGACTTCGTAGTTTTATTGAGAATAAAGACCATTTTCCATTATCCATGTAGCTAGTTCTATTTAATATACAAGTACAACTTTCTTAAAAAAAAATATATATATATATATATATATATATATATATATATTAATTGAATAACTTAAGCATTTCAAGTAATCTAATTTGTTTGGCACAGTAACCCATTTATCATCATAATTATTTTCCCTACAATCCATTTAATTTACTTGTAGTTAACACAAAATTTCTTTTCTTTTTCAGTAGTCACGTTGCGTAATATAATTTTTAATGATTATGATAAGTACATGTCATGGACACATTAAACTGATAAAAGTTAATAATATGAATCTATTAAATTAATATTAAAATTTAAAGACAATTGAAACTCTTTAAAACTTAAGAATTAACTTTCGTTATATATATATTTTTTTAAACTACAACCATCAATAATGAGGGATGAAATTTGTAGGTTAATCAATATTTTAGGTTTAATTACTATTTTGGTCCTTGTATCATTGGTTTTTGTTCATTTTGGTTCACATGATTTCAAAAGATCTACTTCTGTCTTTGTACTTTCAGTTTTTTTTTTCATCTTAATCCATGTACTTTTAAAAAGTAACCATTTTTGTTCATTCAATTTTTGTTTTATTTAATTTCTTTCTATCACAATTTTAGCATGACATTTCGCTCAAAGTGTAGTAATAAATTTGTATTAAAGAGTTTCCATTTAATATAAAATTTGTGCTATTGTAAATAGGGATCAAAAAGGTCACTTTGTAAAAGCGTAGACATCAAAATAGATGCTTTGAAAGTATTTAGACTAAAATGAAGGAAAATTAAAAATACATAGATCAAAAGTAGACGTCTTGAAAATACCTTAAACGAATCAAAACTGAAAAATTACAGAGATTTGTTTAGAATAAATAGGTAAAATTGGGATTTTCTTTTAATATAACATATAAAGCAGAGATTCAAACTTACGACTTTTTGATAGTAGAACGATGGGCTGCCTCTAACTATGCACATGGGCCTTCTGTCTCAGTAGGAAAGAAAGCCCAAATGCCCCTTCACTTGTCTAAATGGGCTGGGTCTTGCGTCCATTTCTTATTCTTTTCTCCATCAATTTCTTAAAATTCCCAAATTATCCTCACATACAAGAAGTTCAATAATTCTAATAAATTATGGAGAATACTTTCATAGATTTAAAATTTATTTATTTTACTTCATTAATCATTTTGTTATCTCACCAATTTAAACTTAGCCCGTTCTTAAATTACTCAGACAAGCAAAAAGGCACCCATTTTTTCAAAATAGTGAAAAGTGTGTAAAAATCACATTTGTTATTATAATCTTAAACTTTGGATTTGAGTAATTACAATTCTAAAATTTTAAAATCACACTGACTTAATTAACTTAATTGCACAATTTTAAAGATTTGAGAGTATAATTGAAACAACTACATAGTTTAGGAGTAATTTGCACATTTCTCTCTTTCTGAGAGGGAGTTGCTTTCGTTGAAAATTTAAACTTGCAATTATGGGTGATTTTTATTTTTACTTTTTCACTTCAAAATGTCACAGATATTAACCTATTTTTAAAATCATCATTAAATATGTTTTTCTATTAAAAGAAAAACCATTTTAGCAATAAACGTTATCCATTGACCAAAGGATTTTTTTTTAAATAATGTTATTTTAAAAATTAATGACATAAATAATGTAGATTATAAATTATTTTCAAAAGTAGGGTAGTGAAATTACAGTCAATTTTAGCAAAGATGCAACCATTCACAACAATTTGTACACGAAGTCGCAGCGCTTTCTCCTCCTAATCGTAACCATCTGCGATTTCAATTTGAGGTGGTTTCCAACTTAAACCATGCATAAGATTATTATTTGATATATATATATATATATATATTTTTTTTTTTTGTTATAAAATTTTTTAAACTTCTTTATTTTAAATTTCAAGAAGAATTTCCTTTACCTAAAATAGAGTTGTTATCTCTTTGAATTGGCTGCCAACTTAATCAATCTTTTTTGTTTTTCAATTTCTTTATTATAAAAATATCTCAATTTCAATTAATATTTTCTTAAAATAATTTTATTCTCCAATATTTTAATTTCTTGATTATAAAAATATTTAAGTTTCTTTATTATAAAAATATCTCAATCAATTAGTATTATTTAAATTAATTTTCTTCTCCATTTAACTACCATCCTAATGTTTTGAAGCAAAAATATCTAATTGTTGCCAGAAAATTTAAGTATTTTTATTTTCAATTTGTACGTTATCATTTTACATAAGTGATTTTTTTATATAAATTATCATACTGATATATCTCTACTTGTATGATGTGAGATTTATTAAAAAAAATGTTTCGTATGGAATCTATGCTTTCAGATATAGATGAAATAGTCAAAATATTAATACATGGATAATATTTTATATGGAAAATAAAACAAAAAAACTACATTGATAAATATCTAAATATCTTAAATGGAAATCGCGTGCATTCTACATGTCTTTTCATAAATGGAAATCGCATACATTTTGTGCGACTTCAATAAATGGAAATAATGTTCATTGTACGCGACTTTCCATAAATAGAACTTACGTACATTGTATTGACTTTCCATAAATAGAAATCACGTATGTTGTACGCGACTTTCCATAAATGGAAATCATGTACATTGCACACGACTTTCCATAAATGGAAATTCCGTACATTGCACGCAACTTCCATGAAAATCGCACATACTCACCTCTCAATATTCATTTCATGTATGACATGTTGGCACGTAATCGCATCCATTGCATGTGATTTTTTACTTTGATAATTTAATTTGAAATTTTTTTTATTTAAATTACATGTATTTTGTTATTATTTTGTTAAACTAGACCGATTGACCAAATCCATTTAATATATTTTTGTTTTTACACAAACAGAAAAGAAACAAAAATGACGTTGAAATAGGTTCCAGATGCCCAATATCTGCGATCAACACGAACACCAGATAAGCCTTCATTTCTTCTCTTCGACACAAGATAAACTGTGCCTCTCTCAAAGCTTGTCGGATTGAAGTAGGGAAAAAATCCATTTTAAATTATTCTGCCGAACTTAGAACTTTCACCAAATTTATTTATCTTCTCTAAAACGTTATGCCTATTGAAAGGTGAGCAACCCAATCTTTTAGCATAAGTTAACCCTAAACCCAAAAAAAATTGTCCACTTGAGAAAAATAGTTGGGGAAAAAATGCAACTGATAAAATTTTTAAATGGAATTAATTAATTAATTAGTAGGTCATCGGCCACACCCACTTCGCATCCTCCCAGCCAAATTGACACTCCAAAGCAGTTGAAAATTTCAACTTTAATTTCTCCACACAAATCCTTTATACATCCACGTTTCCATGACATATCCACGTAGTACAAGAAAATCGACAAAATATGAAAGGTATCAACAAAACGTCATTAATATTAATTATTTTTAACTAATTTAGAGATTGAAAAAATTTTATTTGTTAATTTAAATATTTTTTACGATTTTTTAATTTTTCTAACTTTCACAGAAATGTTTATCGACATTGACATTTTATCGGTATTTCCATCGAGATTGACATTTAAAACCTTGGTTCCGACCAACATCCTTCAAAAAAAATATTCAAAGTTACCCAAAATAATTCTTTTGATTTTGTTTTTTAGAAGTACTTTGGAACTATTTGATCACTATATATAATCTAATGATTTAGAAAGAAACTAATTAAGACATAATATTCTATTAGAATTTTGAATACCAACTTCCACATGTTGAACTCAGACAAAAAATCTCTAACACCCCAGGAAAATCACGTTTGGAAAATTATTTACTTTCTCTTGTTCTTGCTCAAATTCATCTTGCAAATAGTTAATTGAAAACATGTGTGCATTTTCAAGTCAACAACAAATTCTACCTTTACAAATGAAACCACAACCAATCATAAATTTTCAAAATAACGTTGAAAACAATATCTGTTTTCTTGGTCATGGCTGATAAATAGAAGTTAGCTTATCTAGGCCATCTTCCTCCTCCAAGCAACATAGAAAACCAAACATTTTCAGCTCACCAAATTGAAACCATTTTTTTGGGTTAAAAGAAAATGTAGAAACAAACAAGCCAACTTTGCATGCCTTTTGTTGCCTTATATTGCATGACTATTCCACTTATTATCACCTTTTTTAACCAAAACTTCCTCCAATGTTTTCCAATGCAATTCCATTCCTTCATCACAAACCTATGATGGATTCCAGCAACCTCTCCTCCTCCTCCTCCTCCCTGCCCCCTCTAATTTCCTCCGGGAAGTTCGGGTTCCGGCAGCTCCTCGATGTCCAAATCTTAGAGATCTTCTTTGCTCTTTTCGTGTTCCTGGCCATCCATGTCGTTAGACAGAAGCGACGTTACGGCTTGCCAGTGTGGCCAGTTGTTGGGATGTTACCAGCTCTGATCACGGCGGCGCGTGGGAACCTATACGAATGGATAACTGAACTCCTCCGCCGCCACAAGGGGACATTTCAATTTCACGGCCCGTGGCTGAGCAGCCTCAACTGCGTCGTCACCGCCGATCCACGGAACTTGGAGCATCTTCTCAAGACCAAATTTCCCTCCTACCCTAAAGGGCCGTTCTTCCGCGACACGGTGAGGGACCTCCTCGGGGACGGGATATTCGGCGCCGACGATGAGACGTGGCAGAGACAGAGGAAGACGGCGAGTATAGAGTTTCACTCGGCAAAGTTCCGGCGGATGACGGTGGAGTCGCTGGTGGAGCTGGTGCACCGGAGGCTTGAAGGGGTGTTGGAGGATTACGCCGGACGGCCGGCGGCTGTGGACCTGCAGGATGTGCTTCTGAGGCTGACGTTCGATAATGTGTGTATGATTGCCTTTGGGGTGGATCCCGGCTGCTTGCGCGGCGGCTTGCCGGAGATTCCATTTGCTAAGGCTTTTGAGGACGCTACAGAGGCCACTGTGTTGCGCTTCATCACACCTACATTCATATGGAAAGCCATGAGGTATAATCTCTAGTTTGAAAATTTGCAAATAGTTTTCTGAGAGTATCTTTTTAATCTTATGTCTATAATTTTTTTAATATTGTTTTTGCAAATAATATAAGAAATGCTTTCTATTATCTATGTTGGGCGAAGGCTTTTTGTGAAGGGTGTCCAAATGGCAGTTGTGGAACTGAAAAGTAACTTGGTTTTGTTTCGCGGTGAAATTTTGGTGGGAAGACAAGAAACTCAAAAATCGGAACTTTTTTCTTTTGATTGTTTACTTTAATCCAATGAATTCATAAGTAACAAAGGAGTTTTAGGACCAATTTGGTAAAGTTTTAGTTTTAGTTTTTTTTTTCCCTCTAATTTTTCGATGTTTAAGAAACATAAGCATTTGATAAGTATGTACATTTCTCCTTTTTATGAAACATTCCTAAAATTGTATATTAGTTTTACATTTCTAGTCTAGAAATATAAAATGCATAATAAATATTAAAAAATAAAGATAACTAAAAATTTTGAACATTTAATATAAAAAAAAATTCATGTAAAATTTTTACTTCTCTCTTTTTATTTATTTATTAACAATTTTAAAGAAAGAAATACAAGTTGAAAGGGTTACTATTTGTCAAATGTAATTATGTCTTTATTCATTAAAAAAGAGACTTGCTAGTTAGAAAGGCTTTTTTTAAGTGTAACAAATGTTTGGGAAAGAATCTAACCTTCAATCTTGATAAAGGTAATAAATATCTTATAACTAAACTATCTCTCATTGACCACCTTGGTAGTAAGACTTACTTGTACAATCAACGGGCATTGGTTGTTTTGTACCAACTTTTGTATAAGACTTTTATTTTCCACTAAAATATCAATCTCACCCTCGCATATTGTTTGTTAAGAAAAAAAATGAGACCTACTTATGCTCATCATAAGTAGGTAAAATGGCAAATATTTAACAAAGAAATTTGTTATTTTAACCTATTTTGGTCTCCTTTTCGACATAGTACCTTAAAAAAATAACAAGTTTGTTTTCAAATTTACATTATTTTTTTTTTAAGAATAGTCTAGACGATGGTAAAGAAGAACTTTGATATCAGTAGGAGCTTCTAAGTCGTCTTCTTTTTTGTAACGCAGAAATTATCAAGTTTGGAAAATAATATGGTTTAATGCGCTAAAAAATACTACCAAAAAACAAAATAAAAAAACAAACATTTTATTAAGTAAAACTCTTTAAAATCTTTAATTAAAATTAAGTGATATATTAAAACAAATTAAATTAAGTGGGTAATTAATTTACTTTTTGAGCAGGTACCTGAACTTGGGAATGGAGAAGAAGCTGAAGCTATCGATAAAGGCCGTCGACGAATTTGCAGAGAACGTGATTCGAACACGGAAGAGAGAACTCTCCGCGGCGGCGCAACCGCAAGCCGAGAATCAAAGATCCGATCTATTGACCGTGTTCATGAGGCTGCGGGACGAGCAAGGGCGGCCATTCTCCGACAAGTTCCTCAGAGATATCTGCGTCAATTTCATACTCGCAGGACGAGACACATCTTCTGTCGCATTAACCTGGTTTTTCTGGTTGCTCGATCAAAATCCTGATGTGGAAGAGAAAACTCTCGCAGAGATTTGCCGAATCGTCGGCGAACGAGAAGAGGCCCAAACCGGAGAGCTTCGATTCGATTCGTTGATGTTCAAGCCAGAGGAAATCAAGAAAATGGAGTATTTGCACGCCGCAATTTCCGAAGCCCTAAGATTGTATCCTTCAGTACCCGTCGATCATAAAGAGGTAATTAATCATTCATATTCCTCTTCTGAAAACGAATTTCAGAGATCTGATTAATAATCCTTCCGATTCAGGTCGTGGAGGACGATGTATTCCCCGACGGAACGATTCTGAAGAAAGGAACGAAAATCATCTACGCAATATACGCGATGGGAAGAATGGAAGCGATTTGGGGGAAAGATTGTCGCGAATTCAAACCTGAGAGATGGATGAGAGACGGCCGGTTCATGAGCGAATCGGCGTATCGATTCGCCGCCTTCAACGGCGGACCTCGGCTGTGTCTAGGAAAGGATTTCGCGTACTACCAAATGAAGTACGTCGCCGCTTCGATCATCCGCCGGTACCGGGTGACGGTGGCGGCGGGCCATCCGGTGGAGCCGAAGCTTGCCCTAACTTTCTACATGAAGCACGGGCTGAAGGTCAATTTGATTAAGCGCGAAGAGGGGCAGATTCGGAAATTCATGAAGTTAAATTGATTAAAGCCCTAAAAATTCCATGGGAGTGTTAATAATTTGGAATAATTGTAATTTCTTTTTGTTCCTTTTCTTTTTTCAGATTGGATGAAAAATGTTTCGTTGTATTGTTTTTAGAAAAAAAGAGTGAGAAAAGGAAAATTTAGGGCTGGAATTATGCTTTGATTGATATATTTTGGTTTCGGGATTATGTACTTATGTAGTAAATAAATGACTTTGACATGAATGTATATTTTTCAAACTTTTTTTTTATTTGTAATTTCTTTGTTTCTCCTTAATTTTGAATTAGTATATAGGTAAAAATGAAAGAAAAATACATTTTCGATCAATGAGATTTGGAATAGGTGTGTCTATTTGTTCGTTGAAGTTTTAGAATGAACTTGAGATGAGTGTCTATTTGGTCAATGAAATTTTAAAATAGACACTTAATTTTTTAAGTTTGAAAAATGGTTGCAAATGATCCCTAAACTTCTTTGACTTTAGTTGATTGCTAGTGGGTTCACTCTCTTTACTTCTTCCCTACCTCTTTCTCTCCTATCTTCAGCCACCAACTGTATTTATCCTTGCTACCTGCCTTTGCTGCATTGTCCTGTCGTCGTTGTGGTGCTGTCTTTGTTGCCATCAACAGTTCATTTTTGTTATTGTGGAATAAACTTTGCATACACATGTAAATTGAGTCTATTTGACTTGGATGATTAACATTTTAAAATGGAATCTTGTTTAGTTGTATTGTTGCAATTGTCTAAAAAAACTACCATTTCAAAAAACAAATTAAGTTGAGTTATACTTGAAGATATTGAGGTTAGGATGAATTAAGAAAACATTCATTTAAAAATTCATTATTAAAAAAAACTTCAATTGGTATATTAAAGAGATCTCAATTCAACAAATATTTGCTCTATTTCCTGAAGGATTGCATAATTGTTATCAAAATGAGTTAGAGAATAATTCATTCACCTCTTATTTCCATAGAAAAGGTTAAAAAAAACGGTCAGAAAATGTGGAAATTTCAAAAGAAGTTTGAGAATTAAAATTGAAAGTATAAAATAATGTTAAAACACCACGATCAAAATGGATAAAAATTGTCAAAGTGAACATAGCTCAGCGGCAATTGGTATATATCTCCAACTATGAAGTTGTGAGTTCGATCATCCACCCCCACATGTTGTACTAAAAAAAAGATAAAGATTAGTTCAATGGTGTTAAGACATAGGTCAAGACATATGGCTTTTTGTCTCTAGAGTTCAATCTCTTATCTCTACATTTTTTATACTAACAATAATAATAAATAGATATTCAAACATAAAAATCAAAATTCCAAAAATTTTAGAAATAAAATAGAAAATTGATAATAATAGTTATATTATAAAAGAAAAAACTCTCACATTTTCAGAAAGGAATATGTTTCTTTTTAGATTCAATAAAATAATGTAAAGATTCAGATGAATGATATTTTAACTCGTTGAGATAGGTTGAATTATATGTTATAATTGGCTAAAAAGTGAAATATCTAGTTGAGAGATGGTCTAAAATATTAGGCTGAATCCATATATATTGAAAAAATGGGGATGTGCATTGCCATTGTCTTGCGATTGATAAGTGAAAAAGACCCAACTTCCCAACCAAAAAGCATGAACAAGTTGTAGACTAATTAAAAACAAAAAAGGAAGAGAAAAGAAGAAACTTCTAGAATACTTTTTTCATTTTATCTCTCGAATGTTTCCATGTCCACTTGCCTTACCAAGACACTATTGAACCCTAGCTAGGTCCTGCCAACTTCACCCAATAACTATTACACGGTAACAAGTAACTATTTAATATGAATTTATGTCGCATTAATTAACATATAAATTGTAGTAAAAAAAACTTAGAGTATAGTTTTTTTATGTCTAATTTTATTGTGTAATACATAGGGACAATTATCAACTATACATGTCACTTTATTTTGTTTTCCTGTCTACTTTTTTCTATTATTGTTATATAAATGCACATATCGTGTCACTATTTAGTTTATTATATCACTAAGATTGATCATATTAATCATATTTAAAATATATTAACTAAATTGACAAACAAACCATTGATGATGTATAATACACCTAACATTCAAAAGTATTTATGAAAATTAGAATGGACATTTCTTTTTCCAAAATAAAAATTATATATTACAATCAAATGAAACAAATTCCAAAATCAATCTCAAACATAATCAATGGGTCAATATCTATTTCTATGCTTTTTTTAGCATATTCTCTCGCTGACTTCTATAGAGAAACCCTTTTAGAATCACTAATTTTTTCTTAAGCCCTTCAGAATACGAGTCTGATCCAATAAAATCATTCTCATCATCTTCTTCTACAATCGACTCTAAGCTTGCAACAATGAGAATCCACGCTGCCGTAGATAAAATGGCGCACATTCTTCCCCACAGTATCATAATTGATAATGTGACTATAAAAATCGAAATGGCGGCCGCTGATCGATACTTTTTGCTCATCTCATCGCCGTCCAACCCGACCCGCATGCTTGTTGGGGGACTTTCAACTTGAACTCTACGGGTTGGGTTCAATGCAGGGAATGATAGAGATTTCGATATGGCGGGGACCGGATTTGTAGTTATTGGATCCTTCCTTGCGGTCGGTGATACGGGTTTAGTGAACCGACCGGATCGAAATGACTCGAGTCTCCGGGTTAGTGAGAACCTTGTTTGACTTTCACCGACAGGTTTCTTTGGCGTGTCTGAATGTCCACGAGTTTCAAGGATGATTTCTTCTACGACGTCCTCATTTCCTACCTGAAATGGATGGAAACAGATTCTTTCAAAAAAAAATAATAAAAAATCTAGAAATAACATATACATATATACATATATAAAAGAATATATCTCTAACAAGATAATAAAATTTCTCATCAAGTGGAAACTAATATCAAGTAAATACACTTCGTTTAATTAGGAGTATCGTAGAATTTGTGATTAAAAAAATTAAGTATAATTAATTTTTTAAAATCATTCCTATTTTAAAAAATTATTTAAAGTGATTTTATACTTTCTTAATAATATCAAGAAAATAGAATGTATTTAGGGGTGTTGTAGAATTTGTAATCAAGTATAATTAATTTTCCAAAACAAAGAGATTATTCCCGAATGCACCTTTAAATTTTTTTTTCTTTTTCGCTCTTCGTCCTATTCTACAATTTAGTTGGAAAATTATAGGCAATGATCAAATGTGCATACCTTTTCCGGCCTCCCCTCGCCTGCTTGATTCATCGCCGGCGGTTCCACGGCGGCCAGATCTTCACTCGGCGGCTTGTAAACGGTGGTCGAAGCTAGAGATCCCGGTGCGAGCCGGTCGGAGTCCGGATTGGACCGGTCGGCCAGGAGAGCAGAGCGAACCGGCGGCTTGGCGTGAAACCGCATCCAAGAAAACGGACGTTTTGTGTGGGCGGCGGCGGGTTTGAGGGGCTTGGAGCGGCGAAGCTTACCGGAAAATCCGAAGCAGCAGAGAAGTTGAGGTTTGGATTTGGCCATGGAAGGAAGCGTGGGAAACTAAGGGAAGATTTTGGCATGGGAGTCTACGATTTTGGTTTTAATTGCTTCGCAATATATATATATCATCGAAATTAAATATATTAATTACGTGGCTTAGAGAGACATGCCTATAAATATAATATACATGGGTGGGTGGGGTCCATGTATGCTGACGTGTCAACTCTTTCCACCAAATTCTATAATGACTTTTTTAGTACAATACGTGAGGGTGGATATTTCACAAATTTTTGTTCGAACATAGATGTCTTAATTCGATACTCAAATCAGCCAAATTTTATAAAACTTAAATATATAAAATAATGCTTAATCTGGTAAGTGATTCTCAAATTTCCTTCGGTCTTAAATATATAAAATAATGTTTTTGTACTTCATTTTGGTTTAAATACTTCTATTTTTTTTTCATTTTAATTAATCCTACTTTCAAGTTTGTTTTGGTCTCTAAACTCTTAAAAACGGACTATTTTTTGGTCCATTCATTTTTATTTTCATCTCATTTCTTTTTATCATAAATTTCACCTAACACTTCACTCACAAAATATCTTGAAATGTATCTGTAAAATTGTATCAAATGGTTTCTATTACACATAAAATTTATATTAAAATTGTGCAAGTAAAGATCAAAATAGTTACTTTCTAAAAGTATAGGAACCAAAATAGACGTTTTGAAAATATACGATTTAAAATGGACAAAAGTTGAAAGTAGAAATATAAACATTAACCAAAGCTGAGTTGGAAGACCAAAATAACATTTAAATATAAAATTTTTAATTATACTCTTAGTCTTAATATTTTTTGATGAATTGTTTACGTTGAGTTAATTTAATCATGAACTAAGGAGCTCAATACTTATCTTGTAAGTGAAATGGTTTACTTTGAAAATTTCACCAATAAAGGAATTAACTATAAAATTCTACATATATGTTTAATTTCACTTGTCATCTCACCTCAAAAAAAAAAAAAAAAATCACTTGTCATCTTGATCTATTAATAAAAAGTACACCAAAAATTTAGACCTAATTTTATAAATCATTCCATGAGTAACTCATTATTATTTTCTATCCTTTTATTTTCCCTAAATAAAGATACATTGATTAATGTTTTTAGCTCAACAATGTAAAAATTATAACCATCGATCTTTTAGTAGATGATATATGTCTAAATTAGTTGAGTTTTTAGTAGATGATATATGTCTAAATTAGTTGAGTTATATTAAGAGTTAAATGACCATTCCTATTTATAATTGTTCTATCCTTTTATTGATATTTTTAAATAAACTATGACAACTTAGGCAAAAAAATTGCTTCCTCTTTCCCCTTAAGAATCACTACATTCTAAATAGATCATGGTTTCATTTCGATATATAAAAATGTTCACAAAATTTAATTATATGTTAATAAATTAAAAAATGTAAACTTTTTAAATAATTAAAAATACTTACAGCAAATTTCAGATACAAAGTTGACATTTTTTTTGGTATGATTGTAAAATTTGATGGATGAACATGTATCAACTCTTACACTCTACTCGACTCAATTGACATCCTCGTTCATAGTTCAATCATAATTTCACATGGCCCGATTCTCTCGAGATGATTATAATTCTTAATCGACAATAAATGAATGTAACTGAAATCACTTGACTCGTTGAGGGAACAACTCTCGTAGTTGAGGAGTCGAAATAGTCTTATTAAATCACATTGAAAAAGCAACATGAAATAATGAAGAAAACGATGGAATAAATTTCAGTAGAAGAGTGGAGTTCACATCTCTCTAACTAGTTAGAAATTCTAGTTGAGAATACACTTGTATGATTTGTTTTTTTGTTAAAGAAGAAAATTTTAGACCATTCATTTTCTGCAATCAAATTGCATTGTGTTATCCAAAATATATTTAATACCATGTTAACATTCTGCTTATTAATAATAAAAATTCGATGTTATTAAAATTTGAAAATTCAATAGATATTATGCTAAATATATTGTGAAACTAATACTGTTGAAGAATGAAGATATGATATTTAGTTATCTATTTGTTCATTATTATTATTATCATTATTATTATTATTATTAATTTTAGCGTTGAAGCGCGTGAGGGGAACTGATGTGATTGGAAAGAAAGCTGAAGGTTTTGGGTCGTGAATCCCATGACTCAAAACGTGAGCCATTCACCGATATATAAATACAACTAATTTCTAATATTTTTAATAAAATTTTCTAGAAAATGTTATTATCATAAACATTATTTTATTTATTTAATAGAATGCACCTGCCGTTGATCAACCAATCAAAAAATTTATAGATTGATTTGTTTGGCTTTCATTTCATTTTAGATGGATATTAATATAAGTTGAATAGACTTTACACAAATATTTTCAACGGAATCAACCACAATTTAGCGTTAAAAGATACTGCATAAAAGGACAAGAGACCTAATAAAATTTATAATACATTTTTATCAATATTTAATCTTTTTATTATTATTTTTTACAGTGGTAGGTCTCTTTTGATAAGTTTTTTAAATGTTTGGTTTATGACGAATTTATTTCTTGGTTTAAGTTCTATTTTGGTATTTAGTATTAAAATTTGTTTCTCAATTTTCAAAAGGTATATTTTAGTTTATTGATTTTAAAAAAAAAACTTCATTTTGATTATTGTTATTATTTTTTTATTAATATTGCGACTCCAAATATGTGCATCAATATGATGACTATGTATTGCAACCACCACTGCTGAATGAGATAAATATTAAGTAATAGAATAATAGAGATGACCAAAATAATTAGTTTTTTTAAGTTAATAAGATAATAGACCTTTTGAAAACCAGATTACAAAATGATTATTGTTTAAAGTTTAGGAACCAAAGTATAACAAAACTTACAAATTTAAGGACAAAAATAAAATTTAAATATGCATTTTTTTTATACAATATGTGAGAGTGGATATTCGAACTCACGACATTTTAGTTGAAAATATATGCATTAACCAGTTGAGTTATGGGCCAAATTAAGTTTTTCTTATAACTAATTTTAAAAATTTAACAAAATTTTATAAAAATGAGAAATTAAAAGTTAAATTTAAAAAGAAAATTAAAATTGGGCCAGAATTTAAAAAACAAAATAAAAGAAAAAAACAATGGGCTAATGTTACCAGAAATCTGGCCCATAATCATAGTCGACTGTGACTACATCTAATAATTGGGCCTCTAATTGGGCTTGATTTGGACAATGGGCTAAGTTCCAGAATTCGGCCCAAAATGGGACCCGAGTGTCAATTTTTATGGAGTATAAAATAGGTGGGATTTTATTAGGCAACATTGGTCTGTCAATTAGGGTTTCTCAGAGAAGCAATACGCACCAGAAGCAGCCGCCATGGTATTCTTGCTTACACTGTTGCCTTTGCTTTTGCATTCGTCGCTCTCGTCTCTTCCGTTTGTTTGGATTTTCATCCTCTGTTCATGCTTCTCTGTTGTGTTTGGCGATGAGGATTTGGTTGGAAATAAGAATAATGAAGCAAAGTTCTTCGTTCTATAATCTTATCATATTTGATCCGGAACGCCGGAAGCTAAAGCCTCATAAAATTATGTTTCGATGTGAGTTAATATTGTCGGTTTTGTGGATCATAGTAGGAAAGCCAATGTGTTGTAAACATATTTGTTGCTTAGGATATTGGATCGAAGAGTCTCCGAATCGTTTTGGTTATCTCACTTTGATGAGTTGTTTCGTCAATGTTTATTGGAATTTATGATGGCCATTGTTTTTTTTTTGGTTATGTCAATCTTTTTGTAAATTTTGATGCTGTAGATTTGGCTTTAATATACTCGAATTGAAAACGTAAATTGTAAGTTTTTCCTGGTTTTCTTTGTTGAAGCTTTACGTTATCCTCTCCAAGAATTTAACCAGAATTTGGCGCTAGTTTATATTTATTGTTTGAGCCTGTTCTAATGTATGGACTTCTTCAAATTCTCGTTCTCACCTCTCATGATTTTGAATTTTTCTATATAATAGGTGAACGTTCCTAAGACAAAGAAGACTTACTGCAAGAGCAAGGAGTGCAGAAAGCACACCTTGCACAAGGTTACCCAGTACAAAAAGGGTAAGGACAGTCTTGCCGCTCAGGGTAAGCGTCGTTACGATCGTAAACAATCAGGATATGGAGGACAGACCAAGCCTGTCTTTCATAAGAAGGTAAAATTTTCTTGCATCGGCTGTTCAACTCAAATCGTATTTTGCTTGTATAATATTTATTTTCCTTGAATGATTAGTCATGAGAGCTTTGACTTTCCTCCCAGGCCAAAACCACAAAGAAGATTGTGCTAAGGTTGCAATGCCAGGGTTGCAAGCATGTGTCTCAACATCCTATTAAGGTTTGTATTTTGAGCAATTTGACTATTCATTGGTGTTTATATGCTCTCATATCAACCTAACTGTGGTTGGATAGAACACTTATTTTATCTATTTATCAATGCAGAGATGCAAGCACTTTGAAATTGGTGGAGACAAGAAAGGGAAGGGAACTTCTCTTTTTTAGGTGCTCTAACATTATCCTTCACTATATATTTGATTTGCATTCATGCATTTTAGGGATTCAAAATTGCGGGCTTCTTTTGCCCTTTGCTTTTTGTTTGGTTTTTCTGACATTTGTGAACTTTTACATGTTCTTGAGTTTTGTTTAATGTATCAATTTATAATGGGAACAACTAGCTAGCCTTTACCAATTTTTTTTGGTGATCGTGCGTTTTGAATTCACTCTTTTTGCCATCGAACTTATTTTTCTCGGTCCCAACCAACTTATTATATCTTAACTCTTAGTAAGAGGTTGTTTTATTGAACAAATCGAAATAGTGCCAAATAGTCACTGGGTCTTGGAAGCTCTCTGTGTTATAGCAAAATTTGTCTTTTATTGGCTACAGAAATCGTTTCTTCCACAGTTAGACAGAAAATTATCTTTAGCAATGTAGTGGCAATTGTTCTTTGAAACGTGCTCTTCGTTTTATTTCCAATGTTCGAATTTAAATTTCGTCCCATTTTCAATAAATCTTTAAAAAGGTCGTCCTTATTGTTAGTTATGGTTTTTTTATTTTAATTGGAGAAAGGGGGTACTTAAAAGTTAACACATTTGGTTACATCATGAGAAATTAAAGGCGAAAGCCAAACTTTGCAGATATCACTCCAGCCATTTGTTAAACGAAAAAACAAGCCCTAAGCCCTCTTTGAATTTTTGTTAGAATCTTAGGGATTGTTTGGTTGATAATCAGGAAACAAAATTCTGAAAATAAGGGATTCAATGAAATCTGAAAATAAGAGATTCAATGAAAATTAGAGTTATTTTTTTGTTTTCAGTGTTGTCAGGATGTGTTTAGTAGCAATAGATTTGGTAATTGAATTACAATTTAAAAAATTGTTCAATGTGTTTTAGTAATATATTAGTAATATATTAATAAATTAGGAATAGTTACAAATTAAAAATATTTAGTTTGATCTAAATTTATTAATTAATTTATTAATATTTTTTTATGAATTTTGTATAATTATAATTTTATGATGTTATATAATATCGAATATATTATATTTTATAAGTTTTAATTTTAAGGAAACATAGAATAAGTTTATAATATAAGTTTATAATATGAAATAATATATTTATCAAAGTTTTTATTATTTTTAGTGTAATTCTGCATTATAGAAATTTCAAATTTTGAATCTGAAAATACTGAAAACATAAAAAATTGTTTTAAAAATTTCTATGGTTTGGATTATAGAATCCGAAAATAGTTTTCAAAACTGATCTCCCAAATTCCAAATCCTGTCAAATGTGTATTCACTAAGCCTATTTGATTCCGAGTTTCCAATCAAATTGGCCATCCTGTACTTCTCTGTTTAGATTGCCCCAGCCTGAAACTTGTTATCTTGTTTTCAAAAGAAGAAAGAAATGATAAACTTGTTATCTATTACGTCATAGTTCAGATATACAAATACATTCGTGGTGTATTAAGTTACAATATGAACCATAGTAACTTCCTTCACAAATAGAATACTCACTCAAAAAAGGTCTCTCTCTCATCGTCAAAACTATGGGCTCTTATTCAATATATTCCCTCAAATTCTCAAATGAAGCACAAGGATCAGTCTTCAGCCGTTTCAATTATTAATCCCTTGAAGCTTTGTACCTGGTCGATGACTTCGTGACCACTGCAGATGAAAATGCTTGAAGATCTGTTTTCAAACTCCACGAAGAAGCAGACCACATAGGTGAAGAGCTTCGCTTTTCTGCTTCCTGCAAATTACATGTGCTGCTTGATCGTCTCCCACCAAACAGCATCCCATTGCCCATAAACGAGTCTCCAACATCATCCATCAAAATGTGTGTCCCTTTACCCATTTCACCACCCCCATTTGCTATATTATTACTACTTCTTCCACCCGCTTTCACTCTCATTGTCATCGAAAAGCACTCTCCACTGCTGCTGTAGTTCTTGTTGAAAAGGTTTTCGGTTGCGGCGGAGAAGTCTGCCATCGATTTCTGCCGTCTCCTGATCCGCTTTTCATTCCCTTTGATGGAATCGGCCACTCCGTTCGTAGTGGTCGTGATATCGGTGAATATCATTCCCTCTAGGAAGCCATTGGCAAAGCTTCTTGACTTTCTATGGCGGCTTAGAAGGGGATTGGGAGTGAATGCCACCATGGGATCAACAGCCGCCCCCAAATGGTTGGATTCTAGTTTTTCATAGGCAGTCATTTCACAAATTGCTGGTATTTGGGCGTTATGGTCTTGCAAGGGAGACTTGAGTATCGAGGAGGATTTGATTCTCAGTGATTGGAATGAGTCTAATGGATCATAGGACATGAGCCGAGTTGAATTTTGCTCAGAATAACCCTTCCTGTAGAAGCTCTCACATGAATAGCTAATAAGTATAAAGACCCCACATAGCAATAACTAATTTAATGGCTTGGATGAGTATTCTTGCTTATATTGTTATGGCTGTAAACACTTTCTTCGTTCCCATTAACAAAATATCCTTTTTTTCAATTCGCTCCTCCGGAACCGGTACAGAAATGGGTGCTTTTTTTTTACGTTGTTTCGGGTCTCAGGGGACAATACATAAATGAGGGATGGGTCCAGTTTCAGGTCCTCTCATGATATTAATTGGTGCAAATAAGAATGAATGTGTAAGTCGGCAATTTGACAGGAATTCTAGTCGGTTTTTATCTCAGTGTTGATCTGAATTTGGGGTAGAATATCATTTATTTACTACTGTATTCAGTTTAGCTTGGGACCCAATTGTGGGATTCTAAACAACCCAAAACTGAAGCAGCATAAATGTTCAGGTATGGAACTTGAGGAAAAAAATTACAAACCTGGAAATGTCAAGACCATCGGATAAGTGAGCAGGCAGAGGATGCTTTCCAGGAGTTGGAATATGTAGAGATTTGAGAGCAAACATTTGATGGTCTGTAACCAACGCATTCATTCTCCTTATGTCTGAGACCTAATATGTTTTAGGTAATTACGTTATTATAGCGAGTGCACACAAAACGTAATATAGCTTAATTGATTAAGGTATGTATTATACATATTGTTGAACTTAAAAGAAACAATGCACAGACATATATGACAGATCGAAGTTATGGTCGGGAACCATCAAGAATGGGTACTTACTCCTAAGTTACAAATAGGAGAAAAACCATTAAAATGAAAAACAGAAATTAAGCAGTTCTCCAATGTAAACCTACTTGTTATGTGCATGGGTGACATTTGAATGGTTGGATTTAAAAATTAAGTTATGATTCACTTCTTCCGATTTAAGAAAAGGGTAAATTAAAAAACTTCCGTACGGGACAGTGTCAATCATTTTTAACCATAAACTTTCTACTTCATCATCTTTCTCTGAAGCTGAATTTGTCTTTGCTCCCTAAAAAAAAAAAAATCTTTATATATTAAACAAGTAAAAACAGTTCCCATTGTCAAGTTATATTTATAATAGCTACTCCTCCCTGCATTCAAACCTGCCATATACATGGGAGGAAGATACTCGCTCCGGAGTTCCACTCGAGTTAGAAACCTGAACATAGTTAAGGGGCATATTTGTTTTTTTTTTTTTGGTTAAGAATCCCACCTAACAAACGTTTATAATAAACATGAGCTATATCTCAAAAGGTAGTGAGTTCAAATCATTAACTCTGTATTGTCTACTAAAAAAGAAAGGAAAAAAAATCCTACAATCTCGTTAACATTTCAATCGTCATTCATATGTAGATCATCTTTTCCCAGGTGAAAAGTTTGGGAAGAAAAAATTTCAGAAACAAATTTAAGGTATAGGCATTTTTTATCTAGCAAGAAAAGACAAAAAATCAACAATTAAACAATATCGGAATGCAAAAATTACCTCAACGCCGTACTTAATCGCAATCCCGGCAAGAGTGTCGAACTTGGAAACGGGGTGCTCGATGTAGCCAACGCTAGAAATCAATGAAATCGACGACAAATCCGTAGAATTGGTTTCATCGATCTCCATGTTCTTTTGCATCCCATATGCGACACCACTGTTTCTGTTTCTCTGAAGAAGATCGTAATCGCGACTCTCGTTATAACTTCCCCTCCCCATTTCCATCGGCTCCTCTCAAAATCACCATCCAGAAACCGTATAAATTTTTCGACGGATCAAGCCGAAGGTGAAGACGAGATCTGAAACCAACAGAAACAGGATTTACGAGGAATCACGAGTGTCATGGAAGAATCGTCGAAACTAGAAAAGTTGCAGAAAAATGGAAATGGAGAGATCGCTCAAGGAATTCTAGAATATTCTTTTTTAGGATAAATGTGGCGAAATCTTCGTGCAATTCCTCTGGATCAACGTCGTCCCCAAATTTTCCGGGAAAGATAGAGAAACTAACCTCATTTTCCTCCGTTCATCTCCGCTCAGAAACGAGTTTCATGGTCTTGCACTCCTCCACAAATTCAAACCGATTGAATCTTCATGAGAGACGAGATTCCATTTATGAAACTCAGCAACTTCAGAGATTTCGATTCATCTGATGGTTTTCTTTGTTTACCTGAATTGGAATTTAACGATGCCGCTAAATTTACCCGCGCGTTTCTGTTCTTCGAACTCAGTTCGTTTTTGGACAACCCAATCTACGTGTCACATTTGCAATTTTTAAAAGCTAAATTTAAATACTATTTTGTAGCCTTTATATTTGACTATTTTAGTCTCTCCAATTTCATTTCTTTTCATGATCGTGAGCATAAATATTTACTTTTAAAAAGCACATAATTAAAACAAACGTTTAATTACAAGAACTAAGAAAGAAGATTTGAAAAGTAGAAAGGTATTAAAATTATAAAACTAATTTATATTTCTGATTGAATTTTCACCTTTATCCTATGCCATCAAATCAATAAAAGTTTTAAGCCAAACTTTCAATGAATACTCAGTTTTAGTTCTTTTTGTTTTTTAATTAAAAAATGTAAGAAATTTGAATCTCTATAGGTGAAGTAAATTGTACACTTATTGGAATTCGAATTGCCGACCTTTTAATTGATGATGATATATTTTAGTTATCTTCATGTTGACTAAAGTTATACCTATTGACTACACGCAGGTTATTGTTTAGACAAGATTTAATCTGGAATAATCTATTTTTCGAAACTTTTTCTTCGGAAAAATGAGCTTACAGGTGATTAAAACTTAAAACTGTCATGACACAAAATGCATCTATAACTTCCAAATTCATCATTGTTTGCATTCAACAATGGGCATCTGCCAAATATAAGTTTAGATTACAGATATTAACAAAAATGAAAAGCTATTTACGACGTTTCGTTCTAACGAAAGCATTGCTAAAAGTTTCCGACCTTCAAAATGCGAAAAAGAGGAAAGAGGTGAAACATGGCGAAGTTAGCACACCTCATCCCATCATTGAAAGCAAGAACTCAAGCTCTGATTCAACGATACAAAATTGCCATGGCAAGCATCATATAGAATTGTAACCTGTCAAAAGCTAAATCTTTAAAATTTAGAGCATGCTTGATAACAATTTGGCTTTTTTTATACTCATTTAAAAAATAAAGCTTAAAAAAAAATTCCTCCTTTTAAGATAACCGAGTTTTAAAAATAAACAAACATGGCCAAAGCGAACATAACTCATCGGTAATTGACATATGTTTCCAACCAAGAGGTTTTGAGTTCGATCTCTCACCCCCATATGTTGTACTAAAAAAACTATTAGAACAAAGAGATTCAAAATATCCATTTTGATCGTGTACAACTTTTATTCATTTTAGTCCTGGTACTTTCAAAAAGTCTGTTTGGTCTTTGTACTTTTGAAAAGTGACAATTTTAACTCCTATTTACAAATCTTAACACAACACAATAGAAATCCTTTAATACAAAGTCATGACTACATTTCAAGAAATTTAGAGAGTTGAAGTGTTTGTACTAAAATTTTGATGGAAAGAAATTGATAAAAATGAAAATGAAGGGACCAAAATAGTTGCTTTTTAAAAATACCGGGACAAAAAATGAATATTTGAAAAATATAGGGACTAAAATAAACAAAAGTTGAAAGTACAGGAACCGAAATGGATGTTTCGAAAGTACAGGGACCAAAATGAACCAAAGTCAAAACTACATTGACCAAAATAGTATTTAAACCAAAATATAAAGATGTTTAAATAAAAGAAAGAAAAGGGAGATATCGATGATGAATTACCGAGTGAAATCTCAATCTTCAACCAAGATATTGAAGCAATACACCGTCATTTCCCAGCACAAAACCTTTCTTGTCGTTTATAAACCTGCGGAGATGTATAAAAGCTTGTAAATAGATTAAAAGAAAACAGCAATTTTAATGTGAATGGAAAGAAAAGAACTCAAGCTCCACCACTAAACTCAATGCACTATATTTCTTCTACAAAATTACTGCATTGTATTTGCAGCCATGTTTATGGTTGGCAGTGTTGGCTTTTCTTGGCAACAAAACCAGACATTATTTTTACATTAAAGAGGCAAGACACAGAGCTTTGATTCTTCTTCTTACTCTCTACTCATCCAAGGTAAACAGCCATATAAGAGAGCTTAAGATAAAGGGATAGTTTTTTTTTTTTTTTCCTTTCTAAAAGAGGTAACTTCAGATTTCAAAAATTGCAAACTAACTAAAGGCTACAGTATGGTGATACCCACTTTACAGAGTATAGGTTGGCTGCAATGTTGTCAGCTGCTTTATCACGGGACCATGTCCTGCCACCATTGGTAGTTTTCAGAAGTATTCCACTTCCCCCAGCTGCCCAAGCCTCTTCCTGTACGAAGACCAGACATTAAAAAATATTCCATCAAGGCAATGATCAACTGTGGTTAAACGGATGGCTTCATTTTCATCCGGTGCTCACAATAAATCCGAAAGGATATGGATCTTCAGATTTAGCACACAGACTATATATTCATTGCCAAGGGATGATGAGATATGTGCTACTTTGCACAATACAAACACGACTTCAAGCTCAAGGTATCTTGGACAACGCAAATTTTAATACGAACATGAGTGATGAGATTGTAGAAGTTCTACCACTCTTCCATTCATCTAATCATTTGTGCTTTCTCTCTCTCACACACATTTGTTTTGTTTATAGAAAGCTAATAACTAACTAATGCAGCCAAATGCACGATTAGTACTGTATCTTTCAGTTCAACAAATAGCATGTATAATCACAAAATAAACATAAATAATCATATTGACACTTCTGTCTGGCCCTTCCCTTCTGTAATCTGCCACACAAATCAACCAGATCCATCAAGTACAGCCTCCAAGAAGGTCTGTTTTAGCTATTTACGACAAAAAATATGATATTTCTATCTCAATCACAATATCAGCAGGAGTCTTTATGAATGAATTAGGATGCGCAAATGCATGAACATTGAAATGATGTTAAAAAATTACCGTTGAACGATAACCAACATCTAATATGCCAAAACCTCGGCTTTGAACTGGAACTTCTTCAAACTCCTCGCTTATCTGTTATAGTAAACATATTGGTTTCAACAAGCAGTTAATACTTAACAGAAGTTGGCTGAGAGGTCTAGCAGAAATTTTGGGTAAGAAACCACATAGAACAACAGGTTTATTAAAACATGGGAACAATCAAAACACATATTTAACCTACATAATGACAATCTAGAATTTACTTTTTTTTTTTACAATCTAGAACTTACTTGTCACTCTGTTTTCAAGAAAATCATGAATATGATGAAAAATTACTACAACGTCTCCATGATATTGATCGAAAACTTGAAAAGTTTCTAATGATATCTGAAAAGCAATCCATGTATAGCATTTCCAGCTATTGAGTTATTATGCAGCCATAAATATAAAGGTATAAAAAGCTGATAAATACAATATTCTATGCTTGAGTAACTAGTAGAAGAAGGGGAGAAATAATTTTAGTTAAAAGGTTAAAATCAAACCAAATTGCAACTCAAAACCATTGTTCATATTTTCCAGTAGGGTGGTTTGAACGAAATGCATTGCCAGTAACTAGACATGCAAAGGAACGTCCTCAATTTCACTTACCCCTGTGCCTTTACTCAGAAAAAGTCCTCCTCCACGAACAAGAAGCCAAAGACCACCATCAGCTCTCCACCCCATGTTCTGAATCCTCCTAGCAATAGCTCTATTATGTGGCTGCCAGAATGGCTGAAAATAAAGCCAAGTTCAAAAAACTATGAATTAGATATCAAAGCTACAAGAAGCTACCAGTTCAGAATAATACAGTTAGAAAAAGAGAGACAGAGAGTAAAAGAAACATAGAAGTTAAACCTGCCCAGGCTCCCAGGTGAGATAGAAGTTACCACGACTCGAAACAGCAACATAACGCCCATCAGGAGAACGATTTACTGTGTTAAAGGTTCCAGTATAATAGCTTGCACCACTTATCCCACTTGAAACTGTTCTGAAAAAGGGTAAAGAAACCAGATTAGCATCATATAATTGGGATTGAATTTTTTTGTTTAATGTGCTAAAATAATGAACTGTGTTCCATGATTTACTGCCACAAGCTGCCAGTCAAATCTTATCAGTCTATTAGTTAATCCACAATGGTTCAAGGTTAAATTCTAAACAATATATTTTTTTATTATAAACGCATATAGAATTAATTTTTTTCCCCTGCTAAGCATACCTATTAAGGGTGGCAGAAACAGTCTCCTGAACTGCAGCCTTCCAATTATATCCCTTGTTTGATGTAACGTATATCGCACCTTCATCAGTAACCATCTCTGCACTTTTTTCTCCAGTTGCTTTAATGTAGACCTGAAGGTTTTATATTAGAATCACCCACTCCAGAGTTAAATATAAGCACTTTCTAGCAGAAAAGAACAAATAAATTTATAGCTGTATAATTATTAAAAACCAAAATTTACATCTTAATTTGTAGATGAGTGCACTTGAGTTTCTGCGAATATCTTAGTGCTATTACACTCTTACCTTGTTTAGCTATATTTAATCAGCATTACACTACAGTCTACAACTGATAAATAAAAATCTATAATTTACCATTTAACCATGTAGAGGATAGTCTAAAATAAAATAAACTCAAAATCAAGCCCTATAATATATGCCCATTCCTCATTGAAGACATAAAATATTAGTTTACCATATCTCCAGGAAGCTGAGCACTGAGAGGTATCCTTTCCCAGCTTTCTCCAGCATCCGAAGTGTACAACAGAATTGCAGGTTTGCCAACAATCCATCCCTCCTTTCCTTTGAAGCTAATAGAATTAAATCTGTAGTTAAAATCTTCTTCTTCAGCCGAGGGTATTGTACGTGGAGCCCAAGTTCTTCCACCATCTTTTGTCTCTAAAATGGTTTGCCTGGTCCCCAAAAGGAAGCCTGCAGTGGGCTGAAAGTGTCAAATGATTTAATGGCATTATATTGGCGGAAGGAACTTGAAACCATAACTGTAGGAACGAGAAATTACAATAGTCAGGAGCCTTGACAAAATTCGTTAAGTATCAACAAGGTAGAGACAATTATTTAAAGAGCGATAATCCAAAATTCCTACCACGGATTCAATTAGACACCAAAGCCCCAACTCCCCACCCCTAAAATAAAATTATTGATGAAGAAACTGCTTAAAAAATAATTGGAAATGAGGAAGGATTTACAAGCATAAGCTTCACATGCGTGTGTGTTTGGTTTTAAATCTTCCAATTTGTCAATATCTTTTATATTCATTTAATAAATAGAGGTAATTCATCCTATATCAGGCTTTGCACAAATTACATCCTCGGAAAGTCAAAAATCTATGTCGAAACAGAACACGAGGAGATTAAAATGGTTAAAAATTAACTCTCTAAGCACCTAAAAATTGAAGTTGTTATTAAAATCGACAGAGGGAAAAACATTCCACACACATTAATGATATTAATACTGCACACACTAGCCAAGTACACTAAGTAAGTATTTAAAATGCAGTTCGAGACTTAACAGACGACAATGTAACTAACAATTAAACCGCCTAATATCTGTTCACAAATCCTCACAAACTTCAGTTGTTTCCGAAATTTAATCATGCGAGGGACTATTGAGCTCTCAAAGCGCTCTCTACTAATCGCAAATCGAAAAATCCGTGACAGAAAAACAAAAACAAACCCAAAATTCTCTGATAATCTGGAGCAAAAGGGAAACAAAACTTTCGAAACTAACCATGGTCCAAATCATCGGGCACAAAAGCAATGTCGAGAAGGACAACACCCGGATCTATAGGAAGGAAAAGCCTCTCCCACTCCGAGAGAGCTTCTTCGGACTTCGCCGGTTGCACGGGAGCAATAAGCGGAGAAAGCGACAGAGAAACCGCTGCTGCCGTCTCAGCTACGAACTGCCGGCGATTGATGGAAGAATTCTGGAGAGAGGCTCTAGGAGTGGAAGTAGTAAAAGTTCGAGGCTGAGGCTGAGGCTGAGGCTGAGAGAGGGAAGGGGCGAAGAGAGAAGTCCAGGAAGGTTTGAGGAGTTGTTGGAGAGACGCCATTGAAGAGAAGGAAAGGAGCAGAGGAATTGTTGGAGGTTCCGATTCCGACCTCTTATCTCTCACATTATCCACAACGCAATTCTCAACGGCTTCGCGGGTGATTTTGAAGCGTCTACTTCTACAAAAATGCAATCGGATATGACTATGAAAAGTATAAAATATTAAATTAAATTAATTTCCATTTGAATCCCGCCTGGGGATGTAGCTCAGATGGTAGAGCGCTCGCTTAGCATGAGAGGTACGGGGATCGATACCCTGCATCTCCATTTATTCTTCGTACTATCAGCATTTTTTATACTAAAAAGAATTTTTTAATGAAAATATGGATATATCAATTTTACGTGAATGGTCATTAAAATATCAAAAACATATTAATATTGATGGATGTTTTTGAAAAAATTATAAAAATAAAAGATTAATAACAAATATATTAATTAACAAATAAACAATATCCTCTTTGTAAATAGATTCAAAAGGATTAATGTTAATATTATGTTCATACAGTGATATTTTATAAATATTTCTTATATTTTACCATTTTTGTATGTAATTGTATAAAAAAAAATTTTATGCAAGATCTGAAGATGGAGATTCAAACTCACGACTCTTTTATCTTTTATCTCCTATCAGTGCTTGAACTCGAATTAATTTATAAGAATGTTGATTCACCTCTCTCACATGATATCCAACCTGAACATATAAAAATATTTACTTGTGGACAATCCACTTTAAATACATCCAATGAGTTTTCCCGATAAACAATAATTCTTATTGAACATATCAAATATTTACTTGCATTGCCAATATACTTTATGTACATCAATAAATGAGAATAAGTTTAAAGAGAAAGGGAAATTAACGTTAAACTGACTTTTCATTTACATTTCCGACTCTGCTGTACAAATATAACCAATAATTCTGTGCAAAATCAAAACCATGTTGTCCTTGTAGTTGAGACAAGTGATATCCGAGGTCAAAATTGCCATTTTGCCATGTTGTGTTCTCGTGGCTTGAAGCAGAAGAGATCATGGTCGAAAAATTCTCATGATTTTTGAGACTTTAAGTCGACAAAATGGACACTTTGAAACAGCAGCAGAACATTTTCGACACAGAACATGGCCACAGGGAACTATGGTAATTTCTACCTCGGAAGTCAAACAAACCCGACAAAGCCAAGCTGCTTTCGCTGTATCGGCTTCTTTGGCTGCCGCATCAGATCTTTCCTGTAAAATAGATCCAGAAACCATGAATGACTCTTGAGATATTTAGAAAGTTTGTGACTTGTAACTGGAAGGTCACTGAGTTTTAAAAAAGAAAAAAAACTTAAATAGCAATATCAAACCAGAACATAATAGCTAGGATTGTGAGTGAAGGTACTTTGCTTAGGAGAAAGGGAGGAGGGAGTTAATGGGATGGATCCCTAATTTCTTCTCTAGTATCATAATTTTTTCCTCATTTTAATATCAATATCAATCTACCAAGAGCGAGCATAGCTTAATGGTTAAGACATTGGTAATCTACACCTCCTATAACTACAATCCTATGTTCCAAAATTGGTAGTCTAATCAGACCATGAATCTCGATTTCGGAATTTTTGACGAAGTTGCAAAAACTGTTGCTGCACAAACGGATTCTACAGTTACAGATGCAACCAAGTGGGTGTGGGTTCAAAAGAGTTACGGAAAAGAGTTGAAATACTTCTGGATAATCATAAAGACTCTTGTTGAGTATTCTTGGATTTCTATCCCTTAGATGATAGGTTGCATCGTTTCGATATCGGAGTTGTTTGTAGAACTTGATAGTTTTACACAATACAGAGCACACAAATCCAAACACAAAGAATTCAACAAATGCACACCTGTTCTAACAGAAGAGCTGCCTGCGAATCCTTCAGTTGTTCTTGCAGGACTACGGTCTTTTGCAAGAGGGATTGTCGCTCAATATCCACATTGATTCCAGCAGTAGAAAGCATTTCATGAACTGCCTGCACCAATTCTTCAGCAGATACTCTGCCATATTGGAGCTCTGCAACAGGCTGCGGCAGCCAATAAAGGAAATGGAAAGTTTATGAAGAAATAACAATGATTTTTCATGAAGCATGAAGGAAGCCTTGATACAATTTCAAGTATTTATTCATAGACTCTGGTAGTTGAGTTGGATCAAGTAGCAATATTTAATAAATGACCTCATTAGGTTTTCACATTTATGTCATTTATTTAGTAGGTTGGACTCTGGTCCACTTATTACCTACATCTAGTGGAATCATAATCATATTTAATAAACTTCCTCAATATTCCACAAAAATGCGCATACACACGATGACAGGGTCAATTATCTTTGTTACACAATCGAAGTGTTTATTTTGCAGATGCAGAAAGCAAACAGGTCACAACGTGACACTTATTTTTCCCCAGTCCCTAAATGAATGCCGCATCCAAGTTCCCCAAATCAAGAATAAAAAAAAAAGGGGATATATAGCATAATATTTGAAATCCAAAGGATAAAGACCCAAACCTGGGATCGTATTTTGCCTCTTTCAGAGTTCTCTGGCATTTCGACGGAAGCACCACTATCAATTATCATGTGACCACTATCTTGCAAGTTTGTAGAGGAATGGCTACCATCAATGGAAATGCTTCTGAATGATAAAACTTGTGAAGAAATAAGAGACTGAGTGATGCCTGGTGCTGTTTCGACCCTGAATTTGTAGAGTGCTTGGCCAGCTGATGGTCTAACATCCTCTGGGACCCTACCATATTTCAGCTTTTCTCCACTTTGAGACCGCCAAGCCACTACTTCTGCCGCATAAAACGGTCTTAATGGGTGAAGCTGTAATTGAAGAGCATCTTGGGGTAGTATCTCTTTTCCAAGCAAACTACTAATTCCAGTAAATTGTTCGTTCTCCTTCTCAGAACAAAGTTTTAATATATTGATAATGGCAATTTCAGTACCTTCAGGGCAGAAAAGCAAAGAGCCAACAGGCAAGGGAATAGGTGATCCTAAAATCTGGCTCACAACAATGGCAATGACATCAAAGATTGATATATAAGCAGGGGGCTCAGCAACTAAAATACAGGTTTTTGAGTGATTAACAAAGTAAAGAGCCCTATGATGGATTCCGTCCTTCCATTCTGGAATAATGGAATCTTTAGCAGGACGTGTGATGTCTATAGAATTTGGAAGAAGTAAAAACCGAGTATGGAGAGATTTAACAAACTGAAGCCTCTCTGCAATAGATTTTAGTAATTTCTCTACAGCTTTCAGATCTAGATTTTTATTTGCATGAATGTAATTAACCATACTATTGACAACATTCCACACAGCATTCTGAAACGACCTGCTCAATAACTTCTTTCTGATGAATTCTAGAGACACTGCTCCAATACGTTCCAAGGGTTCTATACTATCTTCATGATCCAACTCCTGCCACACAAGTTGGTTAATAAGTAAGAAATAGTATTTGTCAACTGACAAAACCAAAAGGGGAAAAAGACAGGAATCACAAGAATTGAAACATCAAGATGGCATGTTAACCTCAATAACTAAATCGGATAGTTTCTTAATGCCCAACATTCTACAAATCCTCTCAGGAAGATCTGAGTGAACAAATCTCAGCCTTGAAGTGTCGATGCATTTTATATATCGGGAACCATAAGTATCAATATATGCACAGGATGTTGCATGAACAAGCCTGCAGCCATCATCTGGGACTATAATTTCAGGTTCCCGACCATCAAACATCTTTGCTTCCATAGCCTCATCACAGATATAATGTAAGATTTCCATTACAGATCGAAGTTCATTAGGATTTAGGCGTTGATATCCACAAGCTACTTGAAGACTTGATAGAAGATCCTTTGCAGAAGCAACTGACAGTACGTCCTGAAGCCCCAAATCTTTGAGGATCTTCACGAATGGAAGATATCCACTTGGAAGTTCAAATGCAAAAGGAGATAAATTAATAGTCAATCTAGCAAATAGAGCATTAGCTTTGACCAAGCGTGTTGCATTAGCTACAGGAATGAATGCCACTCTCTGCAATTCCAAAACATCTGCATGGATGAACAGATCATTTACTACACTCAAATAACAAGTCTCATAAAACCAACACTGAAAGTGCCCATAGAAAAACATGCGCTGAAGGCATACATATAAAAGTTAGGGGCTGACAATTTTTGTTTCCCCGAAATCCAGAATCTTTCCCTGCTTTGACTAAAAAGCTTTCCAAGGCTTATACAGAAATTAAGTTTCAAAAAAGAAAAAAACTCTCTTAAGAAACTACTCACGAAGTATGCCATACAATAGATTTTCACAGATACACTAAACAAACAAGGTACGTGAACAAGATAAGATCCTAAGGAAACTAACTCTCATCTAACGGATATATATATATATTTTGACAATTCATCTAACCGATATTAAAACATACAAAAATAATAATAAATAATAAATTATAATTATAATTATAATTATAATTAAGACCGGTGATATTAAAAATTTAAATATACATATATGATCTCCCATAAACCTCCCTCATAACTGTCCAGAAACTAGTGAACCTTTTCGACTTGGTACACATGGAGAATCTTTTTATATTCTCCATTGGTTTTTTGGGTTAGAGATATATCCGTCTTTCCTAGTTTATTTAGGTATATGTTTGTTTTCATTACAATTTCAGATCTTATAAGAAAAAAATAATAATTAAGCAGGTAATAGATCAGTTAAAAACCTTTTTTTTATGCCAATGTGCCAAAACAACCAAGTTTGCCTTGAGAAAAATAATGGCCATGTAACTCACGAAAAAGTTAATAACTACCCGTGATTGTACTTTTCAAATAACAGCATGAGACCAACCCAACTCATGAAAACAATACAGGTTTCCGATTCCTTTTCTTCATATTCTCCTAGTATGATTTGTATGAATTGAGAGACTTTATAACTCTCCTTGATTCTCTTATTTTAGTTCTACTCTCTTTTCTCTTTTCACTCCTTAGGGAGTTTTTATCCTTGAACAAGGAGTTTTATCCTTGAACAATTTTGTTTCTTTTCATTACGCAATGAAAAGTTCGTATTTTGTTAAAAAAATATGGTTTTCATACCATGTAAAAACGTGGC